GGAAATGAAATAAGCTTCTCTGGTTTCTCCTGTTTAAATGTCCCCTGCCATCATCAGGTGAGACACTGAATCGGGCCGTTGAGTTTTAAATTTTGTCAGACATGCCTCAGTAGCTGTAGTTGCCGCTGGTGGCCAAGAACAGTCCTTCAGATGGTCTCTCTAGGGGAGATACATGCTGTTGACCAGGGATGGCCCATAATGGGAACTTTGTACTTTGTACTTAGAGCCCATGGTGGACGTACATGTATGGGCTCTAAGTACAGTAGCAATTTTGTGCCATCTCTCTCTAACTGTAACCTCATTGCATTATTACTGAAACTGGCAAATGACCAATGTTATCCTCATTTTTACAAATTCGCAAGCATCTTTCCAGGCATGTGATGTCACAACGTGCTGTTGCGTGGACAGAAGAAGAGAGAAAGGGTGTGATCTGTAACATTTTCTCAAGGAATACCACAGCTTTTCATAATGGGCGATTGAAACGGGTTAATAGTGGCAAATAATTAACAAATAGAGGTAAATGTTAAGTAATAATTTTATCTACTTTTTGAGAACTCTGGCAATAATCACAGAGATCAGCGTTAAGGACACTTTCAGAAGACCAACTCGCAATTCTTTAACAAGGGCAGTGGAAAACTGCTTCTTTATCAATCCTCATGGCACATTGTCAGCAGAAGTGACTCTAAACTCACATTTTGTAGCACTGTCCAGCTCTCTCATGGTAGAGTAGGGTCTGGTTTGCAGGGGTTAGAATAAAGTGGGCACAGTTACAGATAAATTACAGTTAAATTATATTGTAATATAGTAATTATATGTGTAAAAAGTAAGTGGATACCAATGGGATGTGCATTTAAAACTGAGAACAGGAGGCACTTTTAGATTTTGATTCAGATGCTTCCAGAAGTTTCAGATGTGGACTGACTGTTGTTTATGTTTTTCTACCCTGGTAAGGATTTGCACTTAGTTGCAGTACTGTCCATCCTGTTCTCTTGCATGGATTAATCTGAAGCTGCCTGACCTTGAAAAAGTTATTTGTTAACTTTCCCCTGGTTTTCCTGCAGAAGAAGAAAAATGGCAACTCCCGGTAGTATTTCAAAGCTTGACACAGACAGCATTGTTCAGTGAAAATAGACTGACAGAAGCTGCTCAGTGCTTTGCATACAGAAATGGTAGCTGGAGATAAGAGCAGGATGGA